CACACACACACACACACACACACACACACACACACACACAGAATAAAAGCAGACCGTGTAAGAGGAGGACAGTGTGAAGAGACACAGCACCTTCACACTTTTATGAGCCAAACACTGCATATGTAGTGTAAAAATCTTTGGAGGCGTTGCACTGAGAACTGAAAATGTTTTACTAATAGAAAATTAGCCAGGAAAGCAGTTAAGAGTTTGAAATACTAATTAATCATTTCGATCATTACATGCACTTTGTTTTTTCCTCTCATTTCGTCTCAACTTTATTTTTCCGTCTCTTGTCTTGTGATTGCAAAAAGCCTAAATTGTCTTCTTCTGGTTTTTTTTCCTTTAGGGATCACCACACCGCATTACCTGCCTCCATCTCCACTTATTCCTAGCACACATCCATTAATCCTCTATGTGGACTTCCCGGCAGCTCTATCTTCAACACCCTTTCCCTAGTATATCCACAACCCCTCCTCTGCACATGCCCTAACCATCTGAGCCTTTCTTCTCTAACTTTGTCTCCAAAGCACTCAGCCTGAGCTGTCTCTGTGATGTACTCATTTTGCCCAGTGAAAATCTTAACATCTTCAATTCTGTCACCTCCGGTTTGGCCTCCTGCCTTTATATCCAAATCACACATAATATCAAGTCTCACTACCAAAGTATTTATTATGCAGCAATTACCTGCCTGAGCTCATTCATTGCACAGTATACAGCAGTAGGTGGCACCATCTGGCTAGAAAAAAAAGTATGACAGGAGCACAAACCACAAACACAGGAACCCTGTCCAGTCTAACCCAGAGGGTTGTAACAACAAAGCCAAACTCTCAGCTATACATTTTGTAAAGACTATAAAGTTCTAAATATCGGAATTTAATATTTTCAGCAACAGATTGCAATGCTTTTAATTTTGCATTTACTAGACAGTTAGTCTTTTTGTAGTCTTTCAGATTCTGTTGATCGTCTGGTCTGTTTCTCCATCAGTCAAATGCAGTGGACATCATCTGAGCCAAATAAAAGCTTCACTGATTGGCACTGTCTTCTCATCCTCAAGAACTTCACCCTCCATTTGACTCCATGGAAAAAGACGGAAATGTTTTTTTTCTCCCCCTCATGTCTCTCTAGCTCTAATTAAATTAGACTAACGGGCAGCGCATGGTTAGTCACCTAATCAGATGGCTTATAACGTGACTGCTGCTCTGCTCAAGTTTAGTTTGCAACATCTGTCAGTAACAGTCAGTAACAAGGCAAAGATGTTTCCTCTTTACCTGCAGTCACGGTGAGTCACTTAAAAATTCAGACAGGGGTTGAAAAACAGTAAAGTTACACGCGAGAGTAACTTTTTAAAGAGTAACAAATTGTTACTTTTTCTTAGAGGCCTTTATGATGGTCCTGTTATACATCTCAGTTGTTTCTTTGTAGGCTGTTCACAGTTAACATTGTATTCAGGTAGTTTACTTTGATGGGCAGCTGAAATATGAACAATGTGTCAAAAAGAAATGTAATATTATACGAATGTGAGTCATTTCAAGACCAAATGCATGGAAAGTGAATGGAAAGAGAAAAAAATGAATGTGAATGCAAAAAAAGTAATGAAATATAATGAGCAATAAAATACATAAAATGATGTAAAAATAACACAGTGCAGTAAGCAGTGTGTAGATTCATGTTAGGATTACTGGGGAAGGATGAAAAATACTGTTTTCTACGTGTTTATTTAAAGTTGTTTGACTGTGCCTGACATATCTGTGTCCTTTATTATGCTCTGGAACTTCTCTGTCAGACACCGATTCGGTCTAGTGTTTTTAAGTGGAGATCCTCATTTAATGTTTCTTCTACTTTAGGAACAGGCTTAACCCATGTGCGGGAAACTGGCTGTATGAATACTATGCCTGAACAAAAGGAATTGCTGCATTGATGGGAAAGTGTCCCTAGGGGGCAGAATAGTTGTATTTATCCCAGGAGTTGCTTTTTATTGAACAGGCTACTGTTCAGAAATATGTTCTTTCCAGCTATTTCCCCTCTCTTTCTGCTAATTTTTTTTGTAAGATTAAGAGGTAAATAGTAAAATATAAAGGAATCAGTGAGGTTTAATCTGCTGTCCAGTTTACCAAGCATCCCTTCGTCTATCCCTCTATTTTCGTCATACATAACTTTGATGAAAAATAAGCAGACACTTTTAGTCATGAAGGTTATTTGGATTAATAATTATACAACAGGCTACTTGCAAGTAGAGGAGCTGTACTCCGTTTTCATTCCCTGATCGTGCATAATTTTGCAAACTACTTATTCTTATTTATACCTCTTTACTTGAATTTTTAATAGTACCTTCACTTCTTTACGTGTGTAATCTGTATGTGCTCGACTATTTGGTGAAAAGGGAAATGTAAGTATTATGTCTGTGGTCGCATATTCGGTCATTTCTTCTCTAAAAGAAACTAGAGATTTCCAGTAATAAACCCCTTCCGCAGTATATGGCATCGCTGAACTGTTCCGAGGTCAGTTTCGAAGGTATGTACCAATTGAAAAATAGAATGATTCGACGTAATAACCGATCTGGTATCAGGTATCTTCACAATGTTGGTTCCTGACAAACCAATCAGCTGACAGCCGCATGACAGGCAGGCCTCACGCTTGCGCAGTAGCACACTTTTGGTATGAGGAATATGGCAGCGTCCTGAGTCCAGTTGGGGGGAATACGGCGTAACTGAGCACCTTCAGCATCACACTGGGAAAACTGAGACGCACCGGGCACAGTCAGAGGAGGGTGGGGGGCTGAGGGACGGCTACGAATAACACCCGTTAGCGATTTTACAGGTAAACGCGGCCGTTAGCGCCTGCCACTGTCTGCTTCTCCAATGTTTGCTTGATTGAACCCCGTCGCTAATGCGACTAGCTAGTTCGTCCATAAAACCTGAGTGATGTGCTAGTTAGCCGTTAGCTGGTGGCTAACCCAAGCACTGGCCTGCCACAGCCCCTTTTTCTGCATTTGTCAAACAGACGCTGATAACAAAGTATATCGGCTGGTCACTGTAGTTAAGCGGAACAGCAAGTGTCGACGTCGCAAAACTATGCCGCCGTGCTTAGCCTGACAGTGAACCGCGTAGGCCTGCTGAAATGAACCAGTCTGGCTAATTGCTTGGTAACGTTAATGCTGTTTGTCATGGATTTACTTGACAGATCAGCAGCCAGCGCACAACCTGCACATAATTTAAGAATTGCTGTTTGCCATTTCAGCCTATTTCGTGTAACTGTTAGTTTTATATTTCTAGTTAGCTGTTTTTTTAAAAAAGAGAGAAGAAATGATAGTTTTCGAGAAGATATTTGCATAAAATCCTTGCAGATCCACAGAAGATAATGCAAACTAAGTTCCCGTCTCGGTTTAGAGATTGTTTCATATAGTTGGCTAATGTCGGTGTGTGTTGCAATATATCTGCAGGGCACAAAAAACCCAAAACAGGTGAAAATAAGATTATCAAGCTCATATTATGTGTTTGGCCTGGCCTGGCCTAGATATAAGATTTTATATGGTTCTGAAGGTCTGCATCCTTCATGTGTTTCCCTACTCGAGCATTGCGCCTTTTAATTTACACGAGCTTCACTAATATCATTGCAGAGAAGAGAATTTAAACTAAAGGTATTAAAAAAACCTGTTAGAGCCATATAGTGATGTCATAGCACATGATATTTTGACCCTTGCACCCACTCTGATGCTAAAGTTTGTCAGCCATCTGCTTTCCAAAGGAAACAGGTGACCTAGCCTTGTAAACTAAATGGTATTTTTATAGTATGTAGAGTACTGAGAGTTACCTGATCAAATTGTTGTGATGGATACAACCTGTGGCTGCAGTCTAGTTGGGTAGTTCCTTGTGAGTAACATGGTATTAGATAAAGATATTTGGTAAAAAAGGACACCCCAGTATCCTCTGTGGGAATGCGGAAATTGTCACAGACATCCACATAACAAGACCTTTGATTATTAAAAACTGTATTTGTTAAAGGAAAAGTTGTGAAAATCTGTTTGGATCAAGTTGTCATGTTGATTATGTGCTTTGCTTGCAGTGTGCTGGGTTCGCCTATCTCATATTTCTTTTTTCTGTTTTGTTAAAATGTGTTTGAGGATAGACCAGGAATAATTTGCTGTTGATAAGGGCAAAAAGGGACCGATGGGTACAGGGAGGGGTAAATCACATGACCCAGCACTGGAATCTACCTTGTTTTTTTCTTTTCCACAGTCGTAGCAGCACACTCATCCCAGTAATGTAATAAAACTGCTCTGCTCTGTGCTGCAGCAAAGCACAGTCTATGCAGTCCCTCATGCTAACATCTGCCTGTATGAGATTATACAGTTACATGACGGTATATTCGGAGGGAAATAAATTATTTCTTTATTCTTCCTGAAACAGCGATGTCAAACCTTTAAAACTTTGGAAGATCCTCATCCTGTGTTGCCATACTTAAAATTTGCCTAATATTGTGTCTGCTCCTCGGTAAAAAACAAGAAACTGTGATAAATGCATAGATGAATAATTTTGCTGCTCCCTGCTTTATTTGCACTCCGATCTGGAGAGGAAGGAAAACTGGAGTCAGATTTTTTTTTCCAGGATCCTGGCAGAATGCTGACACAGGTTCCCCTTGTCACATTGCAGTCGCTTACAATTTACTGCACTAAGGATAGCAGAGGCAGTTTTTCCCACCTTTTCTCTACTGTGTTCTGGTGACTGGTTTATCGTTAACTGTCTGCTACTTAAAGTAATGTTCTGTTTTGTTTTTATTGTCAGCTGGAAAAGCAAACCTGTTAATCCTTGTGCACCTGTCCTGATAGCAGCTAGTCTGGAAGTAAAATTACAGTGATTACAGTTATTTTTCCTTCCCATTGTAAATTCAAATTGGGAGCCTGGCCAAACCCTAAGACACCATCTAACTTCTGTATATTTACGTAGCCTCAATTATCCATGCTGGCTTCATGCCAGACTTTATTGACACATTCTCAGTTCGTGAACTGCTGTATTGTTTTTGCACCTATGGTTATCAGCATGGAATGGAGACATTTGCTTCCCCTTTGTTTATGCTGAGCAAGCTGTAATATCCCAGTTGGTTCCTTGGGGGTGTCACTTTTCAAAGCGAGTCTGCAAGAATGCAACTATAAAGGATAGAGGTAGAGCATGAAGAGACAGGGTTGTCCCTGCTGTAGCTTATAACAGTGAAGAATGACTCAGTCATGGACTCCCAGCTGCAGAAGACTCTTCCCTGTTAATGGATAATCACTGTTTGCACTGTATTAGTTCGGTATCTGGTGGAAATCTCAGTCAAAATATGTTCAGAGACTGTGTGACATGTGTGTCACGGTATACTGGAATGTGTGTTATCTAAACATGGTATGGTTGTGAATTACAAAAGTCTGGGTTAAGGATTTTGGTAACAGCTGATATGACAACTGGAAATATAATACTTACCCTAAAGAAATGCCTAAACGAACATCTTTAAAACATGTTTTTCCTTGACCTTTGTATTTGTTGAAGGTGAAAAACTTGCTTTTTAAAAAATTCCTGTCATGGTAACTTTCCTTCTGTGTTTTAGGTCCTGTGAAAAGATGAATGTCGTCAAAGAAAACAGAGACCTGGCCTGTTTCTATACTACCAAACACTCCTGGAGGGGAAAGTAAGAATGCAACTTTTGTTTTGTTTTTCTTTTTTTAGACTCGCAAATAGTATTTCAGTGTCTTCGGTATATTTTGTTTCAGATGTTATGCGTATAATTTCACAAAAAAGTGGATCTAAAGCGGAAATGTCCCCAAATTATCACTTAGATCTTTCTTTATTTTTGGCTTCTTTATCTTGGGAAAATATAGGGGGTCATGCATGAAAAGCTGCTTTACTAAATGATAGAGCTAGTGTTCTTTTTCTGTCAAACATTGTAGGTGGTAATGAGTGCCTATCAGGAGATTAAACAACAGTAAACACTGTATTATATCTTGGCTGGGACAAGACATCAAACATTTTTGTTATGTCAAGAGCCTATTGGACTGGGGAAACATGCCTTCTTTCATGTTTACTGCCTACCTTATAAAAATTATAAGCTAATGTGTTTTATGTGTGTAGAAAAGTTAAGATACCCAACTGATTTTTATCCTAACTATGCCTTTAGGAAGTAACTGAGCCACTGTATGTTAATGCATTTTTAAAAGGAGATTAAAAACGGTTATGATGTAATACAATACAATGAAGCCAACGTACTTATCTGTGAACATGTATCTGATTAGCCCCCAAAGTCCATCATACACTGATTTATGGGACATTATACAGCATTTAAGTTCTGTTAGTGTGCAAATTGAACCCTTAAACCGGCAAATGTGTAAAACTAGTAGCTGCCCTGTACTTGGAAGCCCTCAAAGCTAATAGAAAGGACAAGTCCTAGTTTGAGCAGTCAGGAGGTGGGATCACATTACCAATACTTGCTTTCTAAATGCCTTTGTCCCATTAAGGCCTGCTATTGACCTGGGAAACTTAAGCAGGGCTGCAAAGCATTAGGCATCGTCAGAGGTTCATCCACTAATGCTTCTTGAAGTGTCCGGCAGAAACGTGCGTTGATGTACGATGACCCCTACAGTGAACACATCCAGTGGCTCTTTTATGCTCTATGAGGAATCTTGCTGGTGTGGGAAGCATAATTGAATGTCCTATGATTGAGCATTTCTATCCTCATTGTCCCTTCACATCCTTTTGGGAATGGTTTTCTGAGCAGGGAAAATTTGAATCATATGTAATGGCCTTTTCATTCATCCCATCTTAGCTGAACATCTATGGGAGACTTGGGACGAATATGTTTGCTAGTGCTCTACACTGCCATCACGAGAAAGCCAGAGCTAATTTTCCCAGACATGATTTAAACCCAACCCTAGACCAGAGGTCAGCAGCTCTTCTTCTAATAGAAGAATCTGTTAGAAGAGGGTTTTTTTTGTTTTTTTTTTAAAGAAAACATTGACCAGAAAATTATTTGTGACTGGCCTGTTATGATTATTTGGTACTTTTCATCGCAGCTATGAAATCATAGAAATTTAATAAAATAAGATGTTTACTTTTCTTATGAAACAATTTTGAAGTTGTGGTAAAAATAAATATGATCATGTTTGGGATTATTTTGAAACGGAGTAACTGTGAAGTTAGGCAGGGCATTTCATGCAACATGAATGAAATGTATTTGTACTACTGCAATTTGACAGTAAATGCAACATATAGTAGCCAAATGGCTTTAAAACAAAAAATAAAAATAAAAGATGTTTTAGATTTCATATAATTTTGTCAAGCTGCAACTAAAGCATACCAGTGAGCCATAAGCATTGTTGGTTTAAAAAAAATCTGTTTGCATGTTCTTAAATGTGTTTTTTTCCTGATTTCACCCTTCTTATGCTTGAGCAACACGAGGATCCAATTTAAGGTCCTTTTAGTGGTTTATCGGACTTGCAAGGCTCACGTCATGACCCTCCTGACCCAAGTTAAATGCAGGTCATTAGGTCAATGCTTTAGTGAACAGGAATTTCTATCCTTATAGTCTCTTCCCATCCATAGGGGAATGGTTTTCTGAGCAGGGAAAGTATGTGAATCACATGTAATGGCCTTTGTAAACATAAATTATTGCCATCAACATTTGAAGGTCACTTTACTGACTCACTGAGGAGAGTGCGAGAAAGTGACAGAAAGTTAAGAGTAGGGCGGCAGAGAATTATGCGAGTGGGTGATCACAGAGAAATGAAAATGAAACTTGAGCTGGTGCTTGTGTAACCCATTTCTGTGCCTCAGACAGAAAACGTAGACAACCAGAGATTGAGTTGAGCAGTCTCTCTGGTGCAAGTCAAACGCAGTTTAGAGGATCTGCCACACAGGGCTTTGATAGATCAGCAGAGAGAAAGATTCTCATTAGGGTGCAGGTTTTCATCTTGCTTTATACCAGCTTTATTGTGGGTGGCTTTTGTCTTTAGTGGGTAGTGAGAAATATCTTATACCATTTGGTTTTAACCAACCAATTAAGCACTTTTTTGCCACACCACGAAGCATGCCAAGGAACGATGTTCTTGGTTTTATTTAATTATGCAATTGCAATACCCGCAGTAAGAGGAAGCTGTTTCAGGTTGCCACAGGAGTGCCTCAGAGTCACACTCTAATGTGTGATAGAGACAGACTTTGTGACATGTCATGTGACATTCCCAGTTGCCTTACAGAAGGAATAAAAGGACAAATTGTCAGTTAATCAATTTGTTTTTGCCAAAGCATCACAGTTAAGGAAAAAAATAAAATTAAAAAAAGATTTAATAAAGAAGATATGTGAGTTGTTGCATTTATCCATTTTCAAATGAAACCCTTTTCTCAGAACTTTAATTATTTCTTATAACTTTTGGTTGGTTTTCTATTTTTTGTTTAACTTTTTTTTTTCTTACACTTTACTAAATCATCTCCATCAACCCCTTTTTTAACAGCACTGTGCTACAAACTGACTTCCTATAGGCAAAGCTTGCAGAAATAGAGACTTAAGGAAAGTATAAATAAATGGCTCAAATTGTCTGTAAGAGAGCCTTCATGCACTTTACCAATTACAGTAGGACAGCCCTTATGTTTTATTTATAGAACTGCAGTAAATCTACAGCGTAGGCTATGGCTTAGCTGTGTACCATATGCTGTACCTGATGTGTACCTTCCCAGAAATGTAACTGTACATCCCAGTGATGCAGACCTCCACTGTGATTGGTCTGTTTGGTAGTAAACACAGTTTATTGATTAGCACAAAGATGATTTCGCAGTGAAACAAAATGTATTAAGCTATTACTGTATCTGTCTTCCTCAACATGCTAATGGAATACTTTGTATTCTGCCAGTGTAGACAGATGGAGGTTTTCCTCATAATAGCTCTAACAGTCCATATACGCAGGGCCGGTTGTTCAGAGTCTCTCCTTCCTCCATTTCAGTAAAAGTAACTGTTCAAGAGTTTCTCAAAGTTCAGTGTGAATGGCTCAGTTTCGCTTGTGATGGCAGAGCGATACAAACACACCAGCACACTAGCATAAATGTCGCTCATTACTTAAGGGATTCAACACAGTACTATAAATCAGGCATTCGCTTTCCAGTGTGGACACAGGGATTGGGCCAGAGACAATATTTGTGGTCTTTTCTGCAGGGATGGTGGTGGGAAAATTTTTAAAAAAAAGAAAAGGTTTTGTTTCTGTATTTTTGCCCGCTTCCTTTTTTACACATTTCAGATTCAGTTTCAGATTTACTAACAGTGATGAAAATCTCGTAGACTTGAGTTCACTCACTCAAGTCTGTTGCTGTAGAGTTTTCCACTGAAATATGCTTGTGAACATGATTTAGTCAAATCTTGTGACTAGTTTTAGAGAGTATTAGATTAAGATGTTTCCCTGACTTTTTACACAAATTGATTTTCTTTTATAGCTTGCTTTATGTTTGCAAGTGTAGCACCTCTATTCAGTCTTTTGAAAAACTAGGCTCACCCTTACGGCTTCCACAGGAATAAAAAATTTAAATGTCATCCAGGAGCTGTGTGAGCACCGTTTTGACAGTGTTATCATTTTGGTGTGTGTTAATACAGTGCCACAATCTCTGTTTTTTGTTATTCAGTTTAAAGCAGTCATTTTCTTATTGCTAGTACAGCTATGCATCTTTTTCACCGTTAAAATTCTGTGTTTATACTTGGGGTCTTGTCATTGCCTCCCTTCATAGTATTATAGTTTTGGAGCGCACTCTATTCACTGCTTTCTGCATCTCTGTTATCCAGTGTTTATGTTGAGTCTTGTACGAAAGATTATTTTGTGTTGCCCTACTAACAACTCTTAAGCTCAGATGTCTTCGTGAGAAATGGAGCACGTTTTGAGGAGAGACGGTTGAGAAGTGTTCAGTCACATACGGTACAGGAAGTTGCCTAATGGGAAGATTATGAAACCTTAGTAATGGAGAGAGGAGACTGGTGATTATATCTGTGGTGTAAACTGTACCTGTTTTTGCTTCTATTACCATGATGGATGGCTAAACACATGATTGTTCCAGGTCTTGGCCAGTTGATTTTCATACCTTTGTATGAATGTAAATCTGAAAGTCAACAGCATATGTTTAAAATGTTTTTAAAGGATTCTTGCAAAAGTGCTTTAAAGGTTGTTTAATATAATAGGAATAATCATTCTCATAATCTCTGCATAGTACTGCATAATAATCATTCTAATAATCTGCTCTCCTAAATTGATCTGAGTTGTGCTTCATCTTACATTGTGTATTCATTTCTTCCTGTTATTGTGTGCTTCATCCTGAAAGTCAGTTCTTGTTAAGTCTTTATTGTTTCATTTAAAATAATGGCATTGACGTTTACTTGGTTTACTATGCCGTTTCTTGTTTTAATGCTGCTGGCCTCTGTGAGCTACCAAACAAATTTCGTTGTATAACTACAATGACAAAGTTCTTTAAGTTAAGTTTATTTATTAGCAGCTACATTCTACTATTCAACACAGGTTCAATTTAAAGACATGAATTAATTGTTAAATCAGAAAATTAGGCATAAATTTGGCTCTTTTTTTTTTTTCCTCCACATGTATACCAGATAGAGAAGACTGGATATTGCCTTTGTACCAAGATTGTTTTTTTTTTTTGTTTGTTTGCTTATTTTAGTCTATCAGCCCACAGAGAATTAATAATTAACGAAGTTTGTGCTGACATCCAATGCAAGCCATTTGGCACCAAGGTCAAGACATGTAGAGAGCCAGAACCCTGAGATCAGGGCAGACTCATGGTTTTAGACTTCATTCCTTAAAATAACATAATGATGCAAAAGAGGCAGTGGTGTCAAGAGAGATGAAGCAATTTATATAGTTTTCTAAGGGTGAAGCTTCCCAAGAAGGACATGACATTGGTATATAAAGGAGAAGGGGTGGGACAGCCTGAGGGATGAGCCTGAGCCTAATGGCATTGCCTAAAGCAACTGCCTGTCAACTTGTGTTAGTCATTTCATTCATACAGAATTGCAAATGGATTATGTAAAAGTAACCACTAATATTAACTTCCTCTTACTCGGCTTTCTCATTGGACTAGCTCATGTTAACGGGACCTAATGAGGATGTACAAAAAGGAAAGGAACTAAGTCAGCATGTTCAGTCTGCACACTGTACTGTGTACTGTGCAAATATCTTGAGCTACCACTCTTGTCTTTACATTTTGGTTCAAAGAAACCAGACTTTTTGTAATTTTCCTTTAAAAATTTGATGAAACTGAAAAAAAATGAGCAAAGACCGTTGAGCCATTATATATTTAGTGAAGCCTAATCAAAGATGCAGAAATGCTCTCAGGTACCTGTCAAGAAGCCGTTTGTAAGGTACAAAAATGATGAGTAAAGGCTAATATATTCCAGATTACACAAGAGCTGGACTTAAAATCAGTAAATGGGTAAAACACAGTGATGAAAATGGAACAAGGGCAGCCAACATCCAAAGAAGAACTTTGAATGTCCTTCAAGAAACACAGAGAACTATTAAAAGAAAACTTGTTTAAGAGCGTTCAAGCTGGGTTGAAGAATCAAGGTGCTTGTTCCAAATATGGACTTTAAAGGTCATTAGAATTGTACAAACTCTGTTTTTTTTTTTTTTTTTCTTATGTTGTGTATTTTCATGTATGTGTGCAGGTTTAAATTAGTCTCTTCACCCATTTCCTGTGTTAAAAGCAAAATATGCAGGAATAAGGGTAGTTTAAGACTTATGGAAAGCACATCGATACCAGGTACAATTTATATGTAAACACACTGTGTTTGCACTCTTTCTCTTAATAAACACAGCATAAATAACTTAATTTAAAAATGAAAATGTATGAATTGGGCAAAAACAGCTGAAAATGTTGCTGTTGCCAAAAAACTCCAACCAAGCACATATTGATCTGCCACATTTGACATGTGCACACTGTCAGCGTAACATACTAGAATACTGAGAAATCAGAATTCAGCACTTCCTTCCTGTTATGTTAGAAAGCACCACTCATAACTTCTCTTGAATTTGTGTTTTCATCCCTATTTAACAATGAGTCATCACAGAATTGCTGAGATACAAAAGGTTGTAACCTTTTGTTGTAATATGTCAGATAATATTCTTAGAACAAAAGCGATTTCGGAGGACGTGCGCTTAGACGTGACATGCCCTATATCGAGCCCAATCCCCGCATCACAGATTTAAAGAGATTTATCTGGATTTTCCCTTAAAATTTAAATGCATTCTGTGTATTGCCTATGCGCAAACCTGCCCTAAAATTCAATGAATAACCTAAATTTGCCTCACTGTTTTGTATGGAGCCTTGATGACTCACACAGACAAAAATCAAAACCCACTGAAGGCAGTGTGTAAATGTTTGGAAACTACACATTGTTCACGTTCACTGTCGTATAGGGCCAGTGAAGCTAGATACTGTTAGGAGTTAAGGTTTTCCTGTGACTCACAAAACACCTGAAAACAATGTTATGACTATAACTTCCGTTCCCTGAAGGAGTGGAATGAAGTGCAACCCAAATGGTATGGGAAATCATGCTGCTGTATCCTGTATTCCTATTTGGGGAAAAGGGGAACTGACCTAACCAACCTGAATATGGTTGATGCCGTTAGGTAACCCAGTCTTTATAAAGTTACTTTGGTTGAGTCGTCATTGGCTTACAGAGGGCCAAAAATAGAGCTTTTCATTTCACATTATTCTTACCCTGTCACATGTAACGGAGTGGGAATTTTAAGATAAGTTAATGTGGTTCTTTTCAAGGCTGTCAAGATTATCAGGATCTCGCATAATAATAAAAAACCACCACACTTTCGCCCTGTTCCCCACACTCTCAGCGAATATTATGTGACTGCCTGGGTTGGTGTAGGTGTTGCTTCGATGTGTGGTTGGTGATGGGTAGGCTATGTTTCTGACTCATTCCATCTCTGTGTTCCAGGTACAAGCGAGTCTTCTCAGTGGGGACACATGGCATTACCACTTACAACCCAACCACGCTAGAAGTAACAAATCAGGTCAGTATGAATGAGAACGCCTTCATGATGTATGAACCTCTTCTTCTACCTCCAGTGCCTCACAGATGCTTGTGGGATGTGCTGCTCTTGGCACTTTGTGGCCCACATTTTCTAAACGGTTTAGTATCACAGCTCTGAATATATTTTTCTGTGTTTATCGGTGCACAAAATTTGATCCTGCTGTACTGCTGCATTATTGCATCTTATGAGACATTTATCTTTATGCTTCTTGTACATTTGGAAGCACTTGGAAACTTTTTAAATGTTTGAACTGGTCTTTTGATGCTTTAACATGTGTTTAATCCTGTATTTTCACTGTCTATGTCTGCAGTGGACTTATGGAGACATCTGCGGTATTGGCCCGGT